CATCTTCAAGGACGTAGTGAAGTTACCAAAGAATTTGTAGTAATTCTCGCATTTCACTATTTCACCTTTGAAGAGCCATCTTAAATTTTTCTTAAGTCTTTCGCCTCCCCGCCGACAGACCATAATTTCGTATTTCTTACTGGGTCGGTCGAGTCAATATTTTCTTCTTAGTAGTTTTCCTATTGAGTTTGTGGTTTTCAATGATATTTTTATGCCTAATTTGTTGATTAATTAGTTAGTTTGTACTTTTTTGCCCTATGCATATCATTTTCTTATCGATTGCATTTTGGATCTTAAAATTGAGTGAAACAGATTCAGCAATCAGCCTCGGCCTTCTTATCAAAAAGCATTGAACTAATTCTAGTTATTATTGTTGATCATGTCATTTGCAAATAGAAATTAGTGGGAAGTACAATACAATATCAGTGTGCTATGACAGCGCACATTTTCAACCTGACGAGAAACATTGTTGCGCAATTGAAAGTTTGTTAAGTTAACGTTATTTTTTAATCTGATACATTTGCTGGATTTCTTGCCCCGTGGTGTATTTCATTTTTCTCAAAATATATGTGTTTCCAGTTTAATGGAAAGACCCAGGGTTTTGAATTGAATTTTCTCAGTCGAAGTTTGGCCTTCTTGCATGTGACATGTTGAATCAGTACAGGGTAATTTACTGGGTCTGTGTACACTCGTGGGTTTGGATGTTACTCAGAAGCACTTCGACTTTATGCCATCTTCAGAGAGGAACTCTTCTAAGATGACTTTTCCCCCATCCTACACCCCGTCGTGCCTTAGGGAGACCTGATACCGGCGTACTAAAATTGCAATTTTTGGGGAGAGTTTAAATTATTAAGTCCTTAATTTGGTCTCACCAATAAATAAAGGCTAAAGGAAGGAAAGGGAGATTATACCAGTTGATCATTTATAAACTACTTCCTTTTATTATTTTATTTGGAAATAATTTTAAAAAAATAGGTGTGGTCCTTACATAATTTTTTACGTAGAATCTGAATCTGAAGTCAAAACTTTTGTCGACGTACGAAGTACAACGATCCCCAGGGATCAGGAACTTTTTTTCAAATAGGAAGGTATCATTTTGATTACGGTATTAAATTCTACGACTTTGTAAAAGAAGATTTTACTTCGAGTACTTTTTTTGTATAGGTTGTTGTTTAAGAGTTATAAGGTTTAAAAAAAGTTGATGTTTTTCAAATAGGAAGGTATCATTTTGAATACGAAATTAAATACTACGACTTTGTAAAAGAAGATTTAGTTCGGGTACTTTTTTTGTAGAAGTTGTTATTTAAGAGTTTTTAAGGTTTTTAAAAAAAGTTGATTTTTTCAAATGGGAAGGTATCATTTTGAATACGAAATTAAATACTACGACTTTTTAAAAGAAGATTTAGTTCGTGTACTTTTCTTGTAGAGGTTGTTGTTTAAGAGTTATTAAGGTTTCAAAAAAGTTGAATTTTTTTTCAAATGGAAGGTATCATTTTGAAGACGAAATTAAATTATACGACTTTGTAAAAGAAGATTTTACTTCGTGCACTTTTTTTAGAGTTTGTCCTTTAAGCGTTATTAAGGCTTGAAAAAAAGTTAAATTTTATTTGACTCAATCGTCATTCAGTTACCTCCTAGTAACTTTATTAAGTTAATCCTAGTAAATTAAATTTTCAAAATGGGTTTCACCGATCTCCATACAAAGCAAAATCCTATTACTGATCTTTACACAATTTTTTACTTAGAATTGAGTCTGAAGTCAAAAAGTTTTTCAACGTACTTTACGTCCCCAGGGCTCAACAACTTTTTTTACAAGCGGGAAGCGTATCATTTTTATTGCGGAATTAAATTCTACGACTATTTTTAAGAATTTTTTACTTCGAGCGCTTTTCTTGTTGGGTTTGTCGTTTAAGAATTATTAAGTCTTGATAAAAAAGTTCAAATTTTATTTATCTAAATTGTCATTCATTTACCTCCTAGAAACTTTATTAAGTTAATTCTAGTAAATTCAATTTTCAAATTCGTAACAGTGATCTCTATACAAAGCAAAATCCTATTAAGGACTTCATTTCGTACTTCACAGGGCATCTGGTGTTACGCGAATTAGAATTATCCCAAATATCAGCAATTGTGACGATTTAATAATTCTTTGGTGAGTAAACATTGAATAATTTCTCTGAGTTGATTTTCAGGAATTAAGAAATAATTGTTTTGGTTCACTTCATCTCCAGCTAATGTAAAATATCATTTTTTAAAGTATTATCATTTTTAATTGTGTTTCTGTTGAAAAAAATTAATATGCCGAGGTGGTCTAGATCTTTGGAAGATAGGATAGAATTAATTTATCTTTATGGAGCCGGCCGTAATTTTCACGGAGCTGAACGCGTGTTTAACACCAATCATCCGGATCGTCCCGTTGTTAGATGTTATATCAGGCAACAATCAACAAATTTGAACAAACCGGAACAATCATTAATAAAAAGCGAACAGGTACGTTTTAATCAAAAAAATTAACAAAAACCAACTTTGTAGTTAATTTATAAACACGGTAGTTATTAATTATTGATGTCTTTTCTTTTAAAGGGAGTAATAGAGTTTCAGAAGAGGAGGCGGAGGACGTTCTCGAATTTGTCCAAACTCCTACCCAATTGTGCCAGCATGTCGCCAATATTTCGAAGAGTTCGGTCGGAAATATTCTCAGCAAAAACAAATTTCATTCATACAAAATTCAACTGCATTGACAACTTAATGAAGATGACTCAGAAGCCTTCAAATTTGTGAAATTTTGGACAACAGAATTACAATTGAACTGGGTCTGATAGGGAGAATTGGTTTTAGTGACGTGCTTTTTTTTAATGGAGATTCGTCACAATTGCCGATATTAGGATAATTCTAATCCTCACACACCCATACCCTGAAAAAATTAACATTTGGGTAAGGATCTTAGGGAACCGTATTATAGGACATTTATTCATCGATGGCAATTTAAGAGGAGAAATTACCTTGTATCCAAGGAAAAATTGACCTGTAGATTGACGCTACGGAAGAATTTGAGAAAGGAGAAATTATTTTGCAAGATGGACCGCCACCTCACAACACACGTAACGTGGGAGACTTTTTAGATGTCCGTTTCTCTTCAAGATGGATAGGAAGACGAGGTTTCATCGAGTGGCCAGCGAGATTTCCAGATCTAAAAAATGGTTCAATTTTTTTTTTTTTTTTTTTTTTCAAATGGGAAGGTATCATTTTGAATACGAAATTAAACTCTATGACTACGAAATGAAGTCCTTAATAGGATTTTGCTTTGTATGGAGATCACTGGTATCGATTTTGAAAATTTGATTTACTAGAATTAACTTAATAAAGTTACTAGGAGATAAATGAATGACGATTGAGATAAATAAAATTTGAACTTTTTAAATTCACTAGTTTTCGTGGTCTGCTTGACCGATTAATTACCAATTAATTTGAACTTTTTTTTTCAAGCCTTAATAATTCTTAAACGACAAACCCAACAAGAAAAGCGCTCGAAGTAAAATCTCCTTAAAAATAGTCGTAGAATTTAATTCTACAATAAAAATGATACGTACGGGACGTAGTACGTGAAAAACTTTTTGACTTCAGACTCAATTCTAAGTAAAAAATTGTGGAAAGACCAGTAATAGGATTTTGCTTTGCATGGAGATCGGTGAAACCCATTTTGAAAATTTAATTTACTAGAATTAACTTAATAAAGTTACTAGGAGGTAATTGAATTAGTAATTAACTTAAAGTTACTAGGAGGTGACTGAATGACGATTGAGTTAAATAAAATTTGAACTCTTTTTCAAGTCTTAATAACGCTTAAAGGACAAACTCTAAAAAAAGTGCACGAAGTAAAATCTTCTTTTACAAAGTCGTAGAATTTAATTTCGTATTCAAAATGATATTCCTTTGAATATCATTTTGAAAAAAATTTAAAAAAAATCAACTTTTTTAAAAACCTTAATAACTCTTAAATAACAATCTGTACAAGAAAAGTACACGAACTAAATCTTCTTTTACAAAGTCGTAGTATTTAATTTCGTATTCAAAATACTTTCCCATTTGAAAAAAAATCAACTTTTTTAAAAACCTTAATAACTCTTAAATAACAATCTGTACAAGAAAAGTACCCGAACTAAATCTTCTTTTACAAAGTCGTAGTATTTAATTTCGTATTCAAAATACTTTCCCATTTGAAAAAAATCAACTTTTTTAAAAACCTTAATAACTCTTAAATAACAATCTGTACAAGAAAAGTACCCGAACTAAATCTTCTTTTACAAAGTCGTAGTATTTAATTTCGTATTCAAAACACTTTCCCATTTGAAAAAAAATCAACTTTTTTAAAAACCTTAATAACTCTTAAATAACAATCTGTACAAGAAAAGTACCCGAACTAATCTTCTTTTACAGTCGTAGAATGTAATTTCGTATTCAAAATGATACTTTCCCATTTGAAAAAATAAAGTTGCTCAGCCCTCGGGATGTATCAATATTGAAAAAAAATTTGACTTCAGATTCAGATTCCTAGTAAAAAATTATGTAAAAACCAGTCCTATTTTTTATAATCATTTCCAAACAAAAGAAATGAAAGTGGGTAGTTTATAAATAATCAACCGGTATTTCTTTAAACAAAAGGAGAAAGATTGTATGTATAAAGATGCTATGTATAAACATTTTGTTTGTTGTGTATTCTCAAATATATTTTGTAAATGTATTTGATACTTAAAAGTTGGGGACCAATTTAAAAAAAATATATATATATATATGCTGCAAATGCAAGCAGAGATCTGGTTTATTAAGAAATTTATCTGAAGACACAGTGCAGCAAATAATACGCATGTTGAAAGAAATGCTTAAAGTTTTGAAAAAGCTGTACAAGCTAAAAAGTTTCCTGTTAGTCTTTCATAGACATTTAGATTATAAGGACCCCATTGTAATAGGAAAAAATATATTCAAGGTGGAATGAAATGCAATTTATGTTTACCCAATCTTTAATAATAAAACATATTTATTATACAATCACATTTATATCATTTAACATTATATCTCAGAAGTTTCAATAACATTCAAATAAATTACAACTGCATATATGTATATTGGAAAATATAATTTTATATACAATTTCTGGTCCTTAATGCGCAACAAAAATGACTTTCAAAAATACTTTAATAACAAAAATCGTTTTTAATATTACATCGAGTCCTTGGATAAAAATACAAACATAATTTCCTCAATTCACAACACTATCACTATGCGTCTTCTGAATGGGGTGCGCCCATCGTAATACTCGTAATGTCTTTAACGATCATCTCTGCTACCCTCCAAGCCATTTCCTCTTGAGCCTGGGGAAAATTCATGAAATGGTTAATGTCAGGTTAAGAAAATTATTATTAATTAACTGACTTTTTGTTCGTCTTTATTCAAAAGGAGCTTGACAACTCGGGTGATCCTGGACTCTGAAAATTAGTTTGAATTTATAGCTCATGTGTAAATAGTTAAGGCTAATTTGTCGGTTTCTCACCGGATTTTCTCTCTGGCTCTGGCTCAATATCGGTTTCGTATCTGCCAAGTTGGTCGATTCTGCCAAAGCTCAAACCACTGGAAAAGTTTTTAAGTTTAACTTCCAGTTCTAGGATGTTTTATAAAATTTGAAAATAAAACATTAAAAATGAAATTTAATAATTATTGGAATAATACCAGTTGTGCTTTCTTCTCCTCCAAAGGCCTTCAACGTCGACTTGAGAGGCTTTTGAAAAATCTTGGCTGCCCTCGGTGATAGACGAAGCAGGGCTCAGGTTGGATTTTGTGATCAAGGAGGTCAAACATGTTGTAGCCATCACATCGCTCAGCAATGCGAGGTACTGCTGCGACGAGAGAAAATGCTTGAGGCAGTTCTGGCTCAAAAAGTCTTCCACGGCAACCTGCGCGGGCCAAAAACATTCCGGGGAAGTCTGCGTCTCCCTGCAGATCCCTTCTTCTACGGCAAATCGGACTTGGTCACAAACTCCGAGTGGGGTCATTGCTTGTAGAGACAAGTATCTGAATTTACAATTTTTATTTTTAGTTTTGGTCGGTCAAACGGCTGATGGTTATAATTGTTATCAGAATATACTTCTCGTATATCGCGATGGCGTCGTTTTGAATCGAATCTGAGTTCGGACTGTTCTCCCATTTGTACTGCTTTTCAAAGCTTGTGGCCGAGAGCCAAAACTCTATGACAGGACTGAGACCTTCCGAGTCTAAAAACTGAATTCGTTGGAAGTTAAAAAATATAATTTTAACAACACTGCAACATATCACTTACATCTAAGAAAGCACCAAGGCATGAATCATTGTAAAGCACATCGCTAAGTGTCATTGAACGGCTAGTCATTACCTCTATTTGGTATTTACAGTGCCAATCACTTTTCAGAAAATCATTCCAAATGCTATAGGGAAAAAAAATAAAAATTTTTGTAACTTCTTAAAAATACTTGAACTATTTTTATTATACTATTTAATACATTTGTAAAACAGTATATTATAACAAATTATGCTTATCGTATTAAGTTTTTTTGAACTTATGAATCTTACTGCTGCTGCACAATTGTAATTTTTATTGATAGCAAATTGTATTGTGTATTTAAATTTAAATTATACACTGGTTTATATGTGTGGAAATCAGCAATCAATATTGACAATATCTGCCTAACGACATGCTTCATAAATCCTGTTGTATGTATTATATATTGACAAAAAATACCATTTACTTACTCTTTTTTTATCAAGTAGAAAACGGCATTTTTTAATTTGCTAATCTGTACATCGGTCTGATCGGAGCTGAGCGCAGACAAGACGGCCAACTTAATATCATCCGGCATCTTGACCTTGCAATGAGATTCTTCGTTGAGATACTTGTCGAAGATGTGCCTGATTGAGAGGACTGAGTTTGCCTCGTCGGTCGACAAGCCAGACGGGCTGTGGGCGCTCCGCGGCGACGGCTGGAGCCGAAACGGCAACCTCTCCAGATCGGCGAGGAGGTTAAATAGGTTGGAGTATCCCCTCACTTCCATGTACTGCGAAAGGTAAGAGAGGGCTGTCTTGTTGTGAATGGCATCTTCGAGGCCCAGAGACAGTCTGGACAGCTTCTCACATGGTTGCTTTCCTAAATAAGAAATATTTGAAGTTATCTTGAAAATACAAATAGGCCAGATTCAAATAATTTCTTATCTTTGGGTAACCCCGTATCCAAAGGAGCAAAAAATCTCTTAAGAAACAAACACAGTATTATTCAAACCACAATTAGAAAGAGGCCTTAACCAAATATAAAACTTTTAAAAAAAGTGTATAAAAATTTTAATCAGTATTTGGAAAGACCATGGCAGCCAAACGGTCAGGTGACTCTCAGCTCATAAACCCAACTGTCATGGCTTCAATTCTTGTCACCCCTGGCCCTTTTTTCACGTAACCCTTCCCCCCCCCAAAAAAAAAATAATGTGCATCACATATTGTATATATAATTGTCACTAGGCTAATATGAACAGTTCATAATGTCATTAAAAACATTTTTTTTTAAAAGCAATAAACAGTATAAGTTGGCACTCTCAACACGACACGAAAGAATGGCACAATTACACAGAAGACAAACACTTTGATCCCTGAAGATGATCTCAATAAAGATCGAAACATTGGCACGATAAAGAAAATGTTTTTCTGAAACCTACGTCACACCAAACCGCATCCCACGATTTCTGAATAATTGTATAAGTTGGAGTGGATCGAAGTCACGATAGCACAAGTGGTAGAGTAGTGGCATATCAAGCCGAAGGTCCTGGGTTCGAATCCCGCTCGTGACCCTGACTTTTTTATCTCAACTAAAAACCTTAATTAATTGAAAAATATTAATTGGTCAAAGGACTAAAAACTAGTGAATTTAAACTGTACAGGGTGTTTCAGTTCCTTCTGACGAAACTCAGGGAAACGATTCTACTCTTCGTTTGGAGCAAAAAAATGCCCAGGAGAAAATTTTCAGAAAGTTCTCTATTTTGAAGATATTCGTCAATTTAGGTTTTTTCAACTTTTCACTACCTTACCACATAAAAACGCTTACAACTTCCAAAATGTTGAGACTACAACAAATCCAATTACACCATTTGAAAGAACGCTAAATTTGCTGTAAGATACTTCTATTTGCAATAATCTGAATGGCATAAAATGTTAGCCAATATCAGTTGGAACATGTCAAAATTACAAAATTTAAAATTTTGGTCATGATTGCACGTTCTACTGAGGTTACAAAAAAATACCTACAACTTATCAAATTTCACAAAAACTTCATCAAATATGCTTTACGTTGATATATCCAGGTTTTTAAATAACGTTCTAGTAGAGTTGAAAAATAAAAATTTAATGTTCGAAAACGTGAGCTAAGGTAAATTTGAAGGGGGGGTGTAGAAATAAATCAATTAGAACTCGCTTGTAGGTATTTTTTTGTAACCTCAGTAGAACATGCAATTATGACCAAAATTTTAAATTTTGTAATTTTGACATGTTCCAACTGATATTGGTTAACATTTTATGTCATTCAAATATTGCAAATAGAAGTATCTTACAGCAAATTTAGCGTTCTTTCAAATGGTTTAATTGGATTTGTTGTAGTCTCAACATTTTGGAAGTTGTAAGCGTTTTTATGTGGTAAGGTAGTGAAAAGTTGAAAAAACCTAAATTCACAATATCTTCAAAATATAGAACTTTCCAAAAATTTTCTCCTGAACATTTTTTGCTCCAAACAAAGAGTAGAATCGATTCCCTGAGTTTCGTCAGAAGGAACTAAAGCCCCATATAAGGCAAATTTAGGCCGGTCTCTCTGTGTACCTTGGGTTCAAAGGTTTTTGAAAAATTAATTTAAAAAAGATTTTTGACATTCCTCATTCACAATAAACAAGCTCAAAGAAGTTTGGGTTTCAAAAATCCAAAAATACAGAAAATGCCCTATTCATTTTTTGACTGTAGTGTATCTTATTTAGAAATAAGGGTGAAAAGGAAGTGGGGATTTCTTAGACATAGCTAAAGTATTTGATATGTTAAATCAAGATATCCTCCTTGATAAGCTGTAGACCTTGGGTAATACACATGATTGGTTCAATTGTCTGATTCCTGATTGCAGATGCTTTGAGTGACTTCAACTCCAATCAGTATGGTGTCCCTCAGGGCTCTGTGTTAGGACCAGTTTCATTTTTGATTTATATAAAACAACATCTTGGAGGGCGTTAGATTTAAAGGAACAATGACAATGTTTACTGATATTTCTATTCAGTACTGTGGCAACAGTTGGGCAGAAATACAAATTCAATTGCAAACAGACATGACATTGGTGAGTGAATAGTTTGCAGATGACTGTCTGTTTGTCTGAAATCTAAATTTATTTACACAGCCCCATCTATTATTAGATTCAATTGTTTCAGAAGCTATTGTAATCAATTTTGCGTTAAATGCTTTCAAACTAAAAGATCAATTAAATAGTGTTTTATTAAAATTGTAAAATTGCATTCTAAACAACTTATAAAATTATGTATTGACATAAATTCATTTATACATAATTAAGTCAAATCATTGGAGACAATTGTACTCAATTAAATGCATTAATTTAAGGAATACGTAGAATAAAAATAAAACATTTAAAAACCTCTGTTTTTTTTTGTTTTTTTTGAGTTTGGAGTTTATTTATTAGATACTTTTACATTCATTTTGTAAAAAGTGAATACAAGGGGAAATGTCTAGGACATTATACATCCTTGTGGCAGAGGGCTTAAGTATATTTACAATTTTTACTGATTGGCCTAAAGAAATAAAAAAACAGTGGTGAAAATTATTATAAAAAACCACTTGCAGATCCTGTCTTTACAATTTCACAGTGAGTATGGTTAATTTTCCCTTTCTTATTTAATTTAGTATGTTTCATTTATTTTTATGCTATTACATTTAAATTTTTATTTATACACTCATTTTGACACAAATTTAGTACTTTTTTGTTGTTCAAAAAGGCCCAAAGCCCCAGACAATAAAATTTATTTTCTTCTTCTTACTCAAGATGGTGGAAGGTTGTTTTATATCAATGGGATTCACGGATGAAAACTTTGAATTTTGGATTTGTACTCGCATGTGCAGATGGACCCAGTAAGTGATCCAATGATGGTTCAACATGTGTTCATTGACTCGCAGTAACCATAAAATTAATTAAGGTTTTTAGATGAGATAAAAAAGCCAGTGTCACGAGGGATTCAAACCCACGACCTTCAGCTTGATACGCCGCTACTCTACCACTTGAGCTATTGTGACTTCGACTGAGCTTGTGACACTGACTTTTTATCTCAACTAAAAACCTTAATTAATTGAAAGATATTAATTGGTCAAACAGACCACGAAAACTAGTGAAGTAACCATAAATTTTAATAGACCGTGAATAATATTTATCTTTAGATTGGAAGTTAAAAGACCAAATCAATTATAAAAGAAGCAATAATTAGATTTCATCACCTTAACAAAGATGAAACATTAGGATCAGTTTGTCAGTTGAACCATAAAATTTTCAAATACTAAATTGAAATATTGGATTAATGCAGGTTTTTGAAGTTCAGTGAAAACAAGCTACAATTTAACCAACAAAATATATTTAATTGAAATAACTTCCATTACTGTCTATACATTTTACCAATGCAGAACCGATGCATTAATCCCAGAGAAGTAGAAACAAGGGTCTCTGGAATCGACAAATGCCCGAAATGCGTTTTCAATGTCATTCTGGCTTCTGAACCGTTTCTCGCACAAAAAGCTGTTGAGATTTTTAAAAAGTGATAACATAGGAGAAAGATACGGTGAGTATGGTGGATGTAGTAAAGCCTCGTAAGCTAACTTATGAAGTCATTTTGTGACGTGGGTGTGCGTTGTCTTGAAGGAGGATAGGCCCCTTACGATTGATTAATGCTGGCCATAAATGTCAAGAGTTCTCAGTCCATCTCATTAATTTCATTACAGTACTTTTCAGCACCCGGGTTTCACCCGGATAGAGGACGCTGTAATGAATGAGTCCTGCCTTTCTTCCAGTTATAAGTATTAAACATTTAATAATTTTAATAAAAACTAGTTCTTTCCTGTAGTTCAGGCTTATATTGCAAACTTTACTAAATTTAAGCACTCGGTTTAATTTAATAAATATATCAGGTGCTCTCCTGTCAACGTAGGCAAGCTTATGTGCTGGAATCCCGCTAAAACTGGGCATTCTGCTAAAAAGTGAAAACAATCTTCTTGAGCCTGCCTGTTGCAGTGAGAGCACTTACCGCTACTGTCGGCTCTTGTAGGATTATAATTAAGGTAAAGTAACTCGCACCTAACTTTGAAAAACCTGTGAGCTAGCTGAATGGATGGCATTTTAGAACTTAGCGCTATGTTCAAGAATAGTTGATTGATATTAAGATCCTTATATAGCAAAAACCTAGAGAAATTTTGAGCATGAAGGAGACATTTCACTGTGTGAGAAGTGCAGATATTGTTGATCAATTTTGAGTGTAAAGCCACTGTTTATAATTCCCCAGGGAAAAATTGTCTTGAGCTCAAATTGTTGAGTCACAGTATTCCAAGAAGAGAACCATGATATTTTGGACCTTACAATTTCAAGCGCAGTATTCCTGGGAAGGAAGTTTAGGACCCTGCGTCATTATAATTTGATACTGACACCTTGTGCAATTGACAGAAATAAGAAGCAGAGGATTTGAATAAATGCGTTAGAGTGACAGTGCTGCAAACTTTAGATGAGAAATACAGCAGACTTTTGTTGTCCAAGGGTGATAGGCACCAAGCAACATCACGGATAATAAGAAACACTTAAGACTTCAAAGCATTTTCTTTTATCTGCACACCAATCAGACACATTCTATAAAGCATGTGCCTATTGTCAATGTTGTGTACAAAATTATCATGACTCCAAGAGTCAACATGAACCGGATATTTGAATTTAATCAAAACTTCCAAATAACCTAAAGTACCAAAAAGGAATGAGAACGAGTCCTTTAAGAATGGCACCATCTTTTGGTACACAGACTCAGAACCCATGGGAAAACACACCACAATCTTCCAAGCTGAAGTCCATGCAATCAAGAGATGTACTCAATTCAACTTGACTAAAGGGTACAAAAACAAGAATGTAGCTATCATATAAGATAGCCAAGCAGCCACCAAAGCACTAAGCTCAAATATCATTAGTTCAAGGATGTGTTGAACTGGAAAACCAAATTAAACTTATTAGGTACGCAGAACAAAGTCAGTCTCTGCTGGGTCTCAGGACACGTCTTTCAAACAGAAATACATGCCATCAATGCTTGTGTCCTGGAAAATCTTAAAAGAGGTTACACTGAAAAAAAAAAAATCCTCCTAAGATCTGATAGCTAAGCAGCCATTAAAGCATTAGCATGTAAAATAATCACATCAAAATTAGTCAGTGAATGCATCCAAAATCTCCAAAACCTGGGGTAACAACAACCTGATGATATCTTGGGTGCCAGGGCACAGAGGAATTTTGGGTAAAGAGAAAGCAGACAGACTGGCCAGAGGAGGACACACAAGACCATATGCCCCGAACCTATACTTGGAATAACAAAAACAAATATAGAATCCTCCATTGCAGAATAGATCCAAACAAAACAAAAGGAGAAGTGGATAAGCTTTAGCGGTGCTAGACATGAAACAATCCTCACCAAGACTGGCAAAATCACTGTTGCAACTGGAGAGGGCTACTAATCAGTCACTGGCATCTGAGAAAACATCTACACATGGGCTATGCAACGATGATCCCATCTGCAGAGGAGGAGGAAACAGCAAAAAAATTGAAGCAGCATAAGTCAATGACCTGATACTTTTAAGGAGAAGGATTGAGTCTACTACACTGAACTAAGGAACTAGGAAGGTACAAGCCAGAAGGCTGCAGTGCCTGGGGAGTACAAACCCCGCTTTCTAGTATCCTTATCAACATATACCCAGGACACATGGGAGTAGAAGGCAATAAGAAAGTGTACACTCTTGCAAGAAAAGGGGCTGCTATGCCACTGATAGACCCGAGCCCTTCTGTGGCATAGGAACCCACACTATCAATGAGTACTCAGGTAGAAGGATAAAAAGAAAATGAAGGAACAATGGAATTCACTCATTGGACACAAACAATCCAAGAACCAATTTCAGAAGGAAATGTATGTGAACAAAGCAGGAAAAAACTGTGAATCCTAACAGGATTCTTAACAGGACACTGCAAGCTAAATGGACATTTAAAGATTTGTATAATCCAAGGCGGCACATGCAGTTTCTGCAAAGAAGGAGAGGAGACACCAACACACCTATTAGCAAACTGTGGTGCTACACTTGCCTGCAGGAGGAAGTGCTTTGGGATTTACAATGTGACTGTAGAAGAAATTCATCCACTAAAACTAGGCTTACTAATCAAGTTCCTTGATGAAATAGGACTCACTCGTGTGCTACAGGCACAGAATGGGGGAAACAATAGCTCTTAAAGGTACAGTATATTACCCCCGACTAATACATCTACTTCTGTGTATAACATTATGTACATATTTCAGAAAATGCCTTTCACACAGGATTCCCACTCTCTTCTAGAATCTAACTAACGAAGCAACCGTGGATGAGCAAAAGCACAGATATCAATAGTCTACCGTACAAGAATGAACATTATTGGAATGATTATTCAGAAATCGTGAGATGCGGTCTGGTGTGATGTAGGTTTCAGAAAAACATTTTCTTTATCGTGCCAACGTTTCGATCTTTATTGAGATCATCTTCAGGT